CCCTACCTCTGGGCCTGGAGCAGCGGCACTCTGTACCTTGGTCTGGTGGTCTGGTGTCCTCTGTCTTTGTAGTGTGGAACCAGGTGGCTGCCTGTCTGCAGCGGGGTGATTCAGCATGTTCCGCGTGACTTGGGACCTCGGTAGGGTGTGCACAGACCTGCCTGTCTGCAGCGGGCTGATTCGGCATGTTCCTTGCTACTCAGGACCTTGGTAGGGTGTGGGCAGACCTGCCTGTCTGCAGCGGGGTGATTCAGCGTCTTCCTTTCAACCGCCTATTCGTTTTTTCCCATCCCCGCTCCCTGCAACCCCCCTCCCCTCCTATATACAAAAGCTTTGTTTCCATTTTTTCCTTCTATTTTTACTTTTTTTTGTCATCCCTTCCTTCCTTTCTCCCTCCCCTCTCCCTTTTCCCCTCCCCATTTGAACATTTTCTTCCCATTTCTCAATATCTATTGTACATTTTAGTCCTTATTTCTACTTTTGGTTTCTCATACCAAAGAAATTATGCAGTATTTAAACATGTGTTTCCAATTTATTTCACTTAAAAGTATGGTCTCAAGGTGCATCCATTTAGCTATAAATGTCTCAAGCTTATCCTTCTTTATGGCAGAGTAGTACTCCATTTTATATATAAAAAACCCCACATCTTCTTTATCTATTCATCCAATGATGGTCATTTGGGCTGTTTCCAATATTAAACATGGGTGTGCATGTATTGCTGTGGCATGCTTTTAATTCCTTCGGGCAGATACCAAGGAGTATAGCTGCGTCAAATGAACCTGTAGTTTTAGTTTTTTGAGAAATCTCCACACTGATTTTCACAGTGGCTGTACCAGTCTACACTCCCACCAACAGTGCAGAAGGGTTCCTTTTTCACCACAGCCCCTCTAGCATTTGTTGTTGATATCTTGATAACAGCCATTCTTTCTGGAGATGGAATCTCAGTGTTGTTTTAATTTGCATTTCTCCAATGACCAGTGGTGTTGAACATTTTTTTATATATTTATTTGCCGTTTGTATTTCTTCATCTGAGAAGTGTCTATGCATTTCAGATGCGCATTTTTGGATTGGGTCATTCAATTTTGGGGGTCTGAGTTTTTGAGTTCTTTATATATTCTAGATAGTAGTCCTTTGTCTAAGGAATAGCTGTCAAAAATTTTTTTTCCCACTCTGTGGGTTGCCTCTTCAATCTGTTGGCGGTTTCTTTTGCTATGTAAAAGCTTTTTTTGTTGTTGTTTCAGGCATTAAACTTGGGACCTTGGGCTTGCAAGGCAGGTGGTAGCACCACTGAGCTAAATCCCAGCCACAAAAGCTTTTTAATAAGATGAGATCCCAGTTGTTGATTCTTTGTGATAGTTCCTGTGCTATCAGGGTTTTGTTTAGAAAGTCTTTGTCTACACCAATGTCTTCAAGAGTTCTACCTATTCTATCTTCCGGCCAATTTAGTGTTTCTGTTTTAAGATTTAGATCTTTGATCCATTCTGATTTTAGTTTAGTGCATGGTAAAAGATATGGGTCTAGTTATTTTTTTGTGTGCGTAGTATCAGGGATCGAACTCAGGACCTTGCACTTGCAAGGCAGGCACTGTGCCGCTGAGCTAAATCCTTGCCCCAGTGTGGGTCTAGTTTTAATCTTTGTCATGTGGAAAGCCAGTTTTCCCAGGACCGTTTATTAAAGAGGCTATCTTATCTTTCTTCCAGTGAAGGTGTTTGGCTCTTTTGTCAAAGTTAAAGTGGCTGAGTATGTCTGGAGTTGTTTCTGCATCTTCTAATCTGTGCCATTGATCATTAGGTCTTTTTTTTCCCTAGTACCATGCTATTTTTATCACAGTACCTTTGTAGTATAATTTTAAGTATGGGATTGTGATGCCCCTGCCTTGCTTTTGTTGCCCAGAATTCTCTTTGCTATTCTAGGTCTCTTCTGGTTCCAAATGAATTTTAGGATTGATTTTTGTAATTCTGTGAGATGTTCTTTGAATTTTGATCAGAATTGCATTAAATCTGTATAACAATTTCAGAAGTATGGTCATTTTCATTATATTGGTTCTTCCTACCCAAGAACAAGGGATATCTCTCCGTTTTCTGATATCCTCTTTGATCACCTTTTTCAGGGTACTGTAATTTTCAATGTAGAGTTCTTTTACTTTCTCCGTTAAGAGTGATTCCTAGTTATTTCATTTTTGGAGGGTATTATTGTGAAAGATGTTTCCCTAAATTCTCTCAGTGAGTTTGTTATTTGTGTACAGGAAGGCTATTTTTTTTTTAGGTACCGGGGATTGAACTCGGGTCCTTGTGCTTGCGAGGCAAGCGGTAGAACCACGGCGCTAAATCCTCGGCCCTACACAAACCAGATAAATACAAATTTTGTGTCACTGGTTTATTTTATTGATTAACTGGTTGGTTTTTTGAGACAGGGTGTCATTATGTAGCCCAGGCTGGCCTCAAACTTGCAGTGATCCTCCTGCCTCAGCCTCTCAAATGCTGGGATTATACTCGTATGCCAACCACACCTGGCTTCTCCTCTTTTAAAATAATGTCTATCAGAGTATGAGCAACTTAGTGAGACTTTGTCTTAAAATTAAAAAAAAATTTAAAGTGCTAAGAATATAGTTCAGTGATACACTGGCCCTGGGTTCAGTCCCCAGGAAAGACAGAGGGGGTAGGGGAAGAGAAGAAAGAACCATAAAGTCCCTTGAGTAGTATTTACCATTATTTGAGCAAACCTACTATTTAGCAGGCACAATGCTAAGGCCTTTTCATTCATTCTCAACCCCCATGAGGCAGCTATACATTATACAGAGAAGGATACTGTAGCTGAATAACTAAGCAGTTTTCTTAAGTTCACAAACTACAGGTCTTCTGGACTCCAAAAGGTATCTAAATTAACTGAAATAAGAATCAGGGCTGGGGCCAGGGATGTAGCTCAGCAGCACAGTGCCTGCCTGGCAAGCACGAGGTCTTGTGTTTGATCCCTGGTACAAAAAAAAAAAAAAAAAGAATGAGGGCTATTTCCAAAGTGCAAGTTTAGTGTGAAAGGCATTAGCAATAAGCAAAACTAGCCAATTAAGGACATAAGTAACATTTTCACATGCCATTTAATACAACATTTCATTTTACAAATGAGAAAGTAGAGGCTAAAAAGATCTGTGAATCAAAAAACATGTTTGTTCCTCTATATACCTTGTTGCCTCCCAGCTAGGGATCACCTAAGATAGAATGCCTCTGAGTCATTGGGTCAGTAAATAATAATTAAAACAAAGTAATAATTAAACCCTCTTCTAGCCAGGTGTGGTTATACAGGCCTATAATCTCAGCATTCTGGGAAGCTGAGGCAAGAGGATCACAAGTTCAAGCCCAGCCTGGGCAATTTAGCGACTTAGTGAAAGCCTGTCTGAAAATAAAACATAAAAGGGGTTGGGCATATAGCTCTGTGTGAAAGCCCTGGGTTCAATCCCCAGTACTACAGTATTACCCCCTAAAAAAAAAGCCTCATCTAATCTTGGGCTTTTTTTTTTTTTGGAGACAATGAAGTCCCCTATAGGGCCTAGCTGGCCTTCAACTTCTGACTGATCCTCTTAGCCTCTAGAGTGTAGGGATTGTATACATGTGACTGCCACCCACCCACACACTCTAGGTGGTACTTGGGAGTTATATCCAGCACCTTTCCACTGAGCTACATACTCAGATATTTTTAATTTTTTTTTTTAATTTTGAGAGGATCTTGCCAAGTCACTAAGTTGCCCAGGCTGGACTTGAACTTGCAATCCTTCTGCTTCCCAGAGGGCTGGGATTACAGATGTGTGCCACCACACTGGACCATTTTTTTTCAGACAAAGTCTCACTATGTTGCACAGCTGGCTATGAACTCCTAGGCACAGTGATCTTTCTGCCTCAGCCTCCCAAGAAGCTGGCACTACAGCTACACAGGCATATGCCACTGTGCTTGCACCTTGAATATTTGCTAGGTCTATTAATCCTCCAGGATTCTTTGCACATGCATAGTTCTTCTATATCAATTATCAAATTAGCAAGTGAGCTGACCCAGTTTGACATTTTTCAACTCATTGTAGACTGCTAAACGAGAGGTGTGGAAATATTTCCAAGTGTGTTTTTCTGGGTTGAGGATGGAACCCAGGGCCTGATGCATGCTAGGCAAGTGCCCTACCACCGATCCACATCTCCAACTCCCAAATGTACATTTTTTCTTAAGATAAACCATAACGATGTCCATGAATGAAATACTCCTTAGTAAGTTTTTAAATTTTTTTGGTACCAGGGATTGAACTCAGGACCTTACACTTGCAAGGCAGGTGGCGGCACGACTGAGCTAAATCCCCAGCCCCTCCTTATTAAGTTTATACACCTGAGATATTATGAAACAAACACTGGACACAATTTCATAAAAGACGTAAAAAATGTATGAACGAAGCCAAACAATTAGATAACAATTATCCTAAATGTTTTTGAATTATAGTATTATGTGTATACAATCCATATGAGAGTTAGTATGGCCTGAGGTTTTCCCATGAGCTGCAAATTTGGACCTTGGATTGGATCTAGGCTTTACCATTTACTACCATGTGACCCTAGTAACCTCTTATTTCACTGATCCTCAAATTTGTTCTGTAAAGTACAAGTAGTAATAGACAGACCTATCTCACAAGACTATTGTGTGAATTAAAAGTATTGCAGTCAAAAGCCTATTGAGTCTGAGGATTTAGCTCAGTGGTTCCACCGCCTGCCTCACAAGTGCAAGGTCCCGAGTTTGATCCCCACTACCAAAAAAAAAAAAAAAGCCTATCTAACACAGTAGGTTACAATTATGGCTCCTTTCCAAGTGTGGAGAAGAGGACCAACTAGAAATCTGTAGGAACTGTGGATCAAAAAATAATCTATAAGACTACATTTCCTAAATCTGCTAAATTATATTTGGTAAATAAGGAACCATTTTAAACCAGGTTATTGCAGTGATTATGACAGCATTTTAATAAGGTAACAAAGTCATTTAACACAGCCTTTATTTTCTGTTTCAAAACAAAATTTCCAGGAAACAAAACAAAATACTTAACAATGGTTGGGTACAAATGAAATAAAAATCAGTTTCAGAGAACCAAAATCAGACTATTGCTGAAAGGCAGATCACTTGGTTTCCCACCCCCCAAGTTAATGTCAAAAAGGATTAAAATTAAGTTTAATAACATTCTCTATAATGCTACATTCCCCAGTTAAGAAAGGAGAGTTCACATGTACAACTAAATGTTAAGTGTAGAAAAGTGGCTAAAATTCTGCATACTTCATAGTAAATTATGCATGAAAGTTTATCAATTGCATAAACTTCCTGAGTGGCTCCCATGCTGCACTAGGTCTACATGCTTAATATTCATATCAAACAAATTACAGCTTTAAGTGATTGAGCATGACAGACCTTGAACAACTGTACTTTCTGATTAGTCGCTGTGTCTGCTGAGGGTATGTTCTGGACCACAAAATCTAAATCTCAAATCTTAACTTATACTGCTAAAGAAATGCAAATTTTAAAAAACCTAGAAGGATGATAAGCACACATTTAGGAATTTATTTCACACTGGCACTATTTTTTTTCTCAGAGCCCAGTTTCTCTTCCCTTCTTTCTTGACTTTTGGCCCTTTACTTTTTTTTTAAGTTAAAAGAAAACCTTCCAGAATTGGAGCTGTTCACTTGTACACTCTTCCAGCTATCTCAGTTGAAAATAACTTTAGTGTAACCCAGTTACTGCCCTAGGCCCCTTCATAAGTTAGCTGTAAAGGTCTCTGACCAATGTTTGTGTTTATCCTTCATACAAAAAGATTGTTTCAGGGTGACCTAAAAGCACTTGGCTCCATACAAATTTCATACTAATTTTAATTCAGAAGATTTTTAGGAGGTTTGAATGCTTACATTTTATAATATGGAATTAAAAATTTTAATCCTGGAAATCACATTTAGCAAATCAAGGGCCTTTTCTATATACACTCTCCTTTTCTAGTTCATCTTCACAAAGGGAGCCCGCAATAAGCTACAGATTCAAAAAACACTCTAATCCAGAAAATGGCCTGCATACCACCTCAAATAGCTCAATATTTTTCTGAAGCAAATGAAGTATGAAGTAACTGAATCCCGAACTGATGGCAAATATACCTCAGGAATGTATTTATGCATTACGACTGAAATACAGTTTTACTAATATTAAATATGCTGTAGTGTTACACAGTAAACATATGAAACAAGGAACATCTGGTTACAAACATTTGCTGAGCTTTCAGAAGGGAGAAGGAATGCATTTTCACTGCTTGAAGAATACAGCAAAGAACAAAGTTAATGCCTCTATAAATTTTAGAGATTGGATAAACAATTATATAAAACCCTTACCACCAAGTACAATTCAACTTAAATGCATTCAGCCATTTTAAGGTAGCAAAATACCAGTGAAAATACCTAGTAGTATGCTAGTATGTTGAATGACAGATCACTGGTGTAGGATTTGTCAAATATTTCACTGTGGTAGTTAAAGCAATTTCAAACCATAGCCCTTTAGGCACAGAGATGAGAAATGCATCTCTAGTAAAAAAAAAAAATGCAAAGTTACAGGCACTGGACTGTCTAATTTAGGTAAACTTTAATCATTTGTTTATTTTATAACTAACTCCCATAATTAAGTCCTATATTGCAACCAGTTAAATTTATTTCTGTGATTGCCATTCCCAAATCTCCTAGACTTACTTGACATAGGCACCTGGCTCTTATCACTTAAACACAGATTGGTGGCAGAGATGTCCCTCTTAACTCAAACTCATGGTTAGTGCTGGGACAAAGAAGAATGCCAGATTTATAATCTGAAGGAATACTGAGAATCAAGGCAAAAAAGCAAGTTTCATAGGCAGTGTTTACTTGTGCATCCAAAACAGCACTGAAAACGAGGTAGATAAACAAAAGTAACTGGACTGGAATTAAATCTGAAGTTCTAAGATGATAAATTCCATCATATTGTACATAACACTCTACACCCAATCCAAAAATCACAGCAGAAAAGTGCCTTTTAAACTTTCACAGATAAATTTGCTGTCAAACCATTAGAACTCATGCTTGATATAAAACTTGCAAAGAAGGGATGAAAAACAATGGATATTTGTTATATTACAACAAATTACCTTAAATAGAGATTCAAGACTGCTACAAATATACACATGGTTATTTTCATTAGACTTACACCAACACTGGTTTCATATTTTTATGATGTTACACCCAACTTCACAGACATAGCAGCAGGTACTTCATGATGCAATGTACACATTGCCACATATGGAGATACAGTACTGTTCATCAGACTTGCGCTTTGAGAAGTAAACATGGTGGCTGGACATACACAGTATTCCCCAAATAAATTTTACAAGCATGATGGTTAAGCACAACCTTTTTCTCTTTTACAAGAAAATTAAAAGGATAGTGTGGTGTGCTTTTTGGAAATGAGTAGAAGGCCCTTTTACATAGTAGGCTCTGTTAAGTAAGAAGGGAATTTCTGAGCTTTACCTAAAGAGTTATTTATGTCTGGAGAGGAAAAGTACCTAAGGCAAGGATGAAAACAGCACTATTAAATGACTTAGGAAAAGTATAAAATAATGCAAAACCCATAGGTAGAAAACTAGCCAATACTCAGGTCAAATCTGAATCAAATATTTAAGTAATGGGAAAAAAAGTAAATAAAACCCACAGCAATGTGAATAACTTGGTTTTCATTTCTGCACAAACTCACTTTTTCTGTATTTTTAAATGTATACATGTGTCATATATACATAATGTATACATAACGTGTTAACCCAGCTACTGCAGTCAGCATGGAGACAGCAGTACACTATTCACCATCTTCAAACTTTAGAAGATTACTTTTCTTTCTAAAAAAAACCTGAAAAGATTCTCAATATTACAAGGCACTGCAAAAGTCTGCAGGCAAACAAGAATGAGGAATTATATGTAAACAAGTGGTGACAAAATTCAGAACATATGGTGTAGAGCAGCCATTATTTAAATGTAATTGTACACATCATCCATGGAGCTTTTTTCATCCTGGGGTACACTGTTTAAAAAGATTGCAGCTAGAAGAAGAGGTCATAAAACCTGTAGTGTTTTTACTTTATAGGATGTGTGTCTCAATGTAGCTACATAAAGCCAACTCTTATAGTGAAACACAAATTTAAAGAATTACAGATTTTATAGGAGCATTTTTGTCCCCATGAAAACACTGCAATGTAAGCATTTGCATTACACTAATGTCCTAAAATCACTTCAACTTGCAAACCAGTATTATAGAAGAAACTTAAAAGAATCCATATGTAAGATTTGGAAAGACTCATCCAAAACAAAGGATATTTTATGAAAAGAAACTGCCTCTTATCAATAGTGACTGTCAAAATGCTGCCCTAGATGATGTAAATGATAGTGATAGAATCTTCATCATGTTAAGTGTGGTCCTCAGCTAAGCAATATGTCACGTTTTTCAGAAAGGGTACTGAATGTCACAAAGTAGACTGTGCAAAACAAAAAGAAGTACACCCATTAAGTTTTCCTCATTACCTGGCCAGCCCATGGGGTATAATTTTTATAGGAATATGGAGGAAAGCTTGTTATCAATGCTGAGCAACAATTTGGAATATTTACCAGTAGGTAGAACTCCTGATTGGGTAAACATGTTCTAGAAGACCTTGAAATCTTCCAAGTGGAAGGGTAAGTAGTTTGAACATGTATATATGGTAGCCAATAAATACCATTTAAGAATTCTATTTCGGTTTCATAGACTGAAAACTAGGTAACCTTGTGACCAGCCTTTAAGGGTGTTCAGTTAACCTTCTAGAAAACCAAAGGTGTACATTTTGACATTGCCTCCTTTCCTCCTAAAACTGGATAAAACCCAGTAAAGTGCAACTTGACAGTGATCTCTCTTGATTCTAAAGAGGCTGCCAAACTCAATCTAAGATCTAAAATCATCTAAGACACTATAAACTAATAAGAAATTATAAAAAATGGTAATCCAAAAAAGCTAAGGTCAACTTAAATAGTATCCTTCTAGGTTCTACTATCTCACTTCAGGGGTATATACCCCACATCTCTTAGAACCCTGTAAAGCCAGTGTTTCATGTGTAAATCTCAAAACCTTACAAAACCTACTGTGTCAAGTACATTCCACTGCAGAAAAATGGATCAACAGAGGTGTAACTTGAATCCTCTTTGTTAAGAATATAAGGATTTCTCCCAAATGAGATTCATATTAGCTGTACTATATCCCTGGAAAAAGAATGCAAGCCAAACCAGTGCCTCTCAGATGCTCAAAACCAATGTAATGTGCACATGAGAAACAAGACATAGCTGCTCTGAATTATTACCAAAATCCTAAAGCAAGCTATAGTATCTGTAGAATCAAGGAACTGTTACAGTTCTGTTTTTTTCCTTTCCCTCTGCCTCACTCAAAACAAGGCTTCACTCTTTCTGCTGTGATGACAGGAAGAAAATCACATTAAAAAGGGCTCATGTATTGGTTGACATAGTTATTCTAATTTTATACACCAAAACATTTTCTGCAGCAAGTTACTCTGCCTGCTGTGAAAGGTAAACTGAAGATAATCATGTAAAGAATTCCACAAGACCCCAGCTATTAGAGGGTCTCACTTCGTCCATGTTTGGGGAGAATCACTCTAAGTAATTTTTACATATTTTAAAGAAAAGTATCATTCAGCTGCAGATAGCAGCAGTTAAAAATGGGGGCTTTTCAGCAGTGCATGGAAAGTGTCCTGGAAATGGTAATGCTCAAGTCGAGCTTATTAAAGCATTTTGAACAGTATTTTTAAAAATCAAGTATCAAAGAGGATAGGATTTGAAGTGAAAAAACATTTTGGTGTGCAGTGTTCTATGTGCAATCCACACATTTCTACAGAATGATGAGCTATATCAAATACCACATTGGAACAACAACAACAACAACAACAAAATAAAGTAAACTCAAAGAGGGGAAAAAAGTAGAACCCAAGAAGAAGAAACTTTAAGATCTCAGGTGTTCTGAAAATAATTCTGAAAAAAAAATCTCCATTTTCTTCATCATCTACTCTGATTCACTTGGGACCAGGAGGGATTGTAGCCGGATTCTGCACTGGAGCTGGAAATGCCTGCAAAGTCAACCCTGGCTGGAACGGTCCTCCAGATTGGGCAGGAATTACCACAGACTGCTGTGTTGTTCCTGAAATTCCTACCCATTGTACTGGATACCCTGTGCCCCCCACAGCATTATACTGACAAACATGGGACATTCCATATGAAGATAATGGCCCAGGAAATGAAGGGAGTGGGAGTCCTTGTGGCAAGGAAGTTGGGACAGCTCCACGGATTTGGGACAGAGAAGAAATCCATGTTGGTGTGTAGCCCATAGTAGATGGAGTATTCTAACAAAAACAAAAATAAAAACAAAATATCAGTTTATTTGGTATATGATTTTATCAATTTAATTCCTTCCCATTCTTTTTGGCTTACTACTCTCATTATTATGAGCTACAATTTCAAGAGCAAATTTCTGTGTACTAAGCATAGTTCATTTTAGTTCATTTTCATAGCTGCCCTGCCTTGCCAGGTAGGCATTTTCAGAGGAGAAAACAGAAGTTTAAAACTGGCAGCTAATCCAACAGCACTAAGCAAGTTAATAGTGAGACAGGGATTTGAACACAGTTCTAACTAGTTCTAAGGCTCATACTAAATCTCTATTCACATTTTAGTTTCTCCTTTCCTAGCGTTAACACTAGTCTTCTCTTTTTATTTCTTTCTGCAAGCCTTTGGTATGCTCTCATACAGTGCCATAGACTGAATAGCCCATCTTAGTACATAATTTTTGGATTCAGAGAAGCGTGATCTATTTCTTTCTACTCCACTACCTTAAAGTCTGACATCTCTATTATATTCTTAGAAATTTAAACTGAAGACAAGACAATTATATTTTTGGCAGTATTGAGAAAATTTATTCCTGTATGACTCTTCTTACACTGTATCATAATTATTCATTTACAGAGAGATTACAAAAATCTCATGCACATGGAAATAATAACTCTAATGGATGTGAACAATTCTCTTGTCAGTCTCAAATGCTTAGCTCTTCTAATCTTCTAAACTGAATTGTCAGGTGTAAGCTAAACTTTCAACTTAAGTTAGGGTAAAGGTTTTTAGCTTGACTCAAACATGAATGACAGTGTCTCTTGAGGTGAAAAAACATTTATTTAAAGTTCAGCAATCCCTTCTTCATATCAGTGTTTTCTTTCTGTTAAATTAAAGTAAAATTAAATTTAGTACTTCTGATTCAAAACAGCACATACAGTATGATCACATTTTTATACAGTTATTTCCATGGGTCCATAAACAAACATAGAAAGAGATCTGAAGTGATGTCTATATAAAGGTGATGACAACTATTTCTGGGTGGTGTGATTTGAAGGTGGTATTTTAAATTTTGTATTTGTTTGTATTGATTAAATTCTATAATGGACATTTTTATTTTACAAACACAATTTTTTTTTTTGGTACCAGAGATCGAACTCGGGTCCTTGTGCTCAAAATTTCTTTTTTTAAAAACAATTTTTATTTTTAAAAGACTGAATTAGTTTATAAATCTCCTCTTGAATATTTCAAGGGCATCTCCAATTTAAATGCTCAAAACCAAACATGCAATTTTCTCTTACCAAAACACAGTCTGCTCAGATGCTCCATCTCATTGACTAGAATAATATCCAGTTATACAAGGCAAAAACCTTGCTTTGACACCTCCCCTCTACCATACAACCATTCCATTACCAAATCTTGTCTGTTAAATATTTCTTGGTTATTTGTTCACTTCTCTTCAACTTGGTTTTCCCTAATCTGGACTACTGTGACTAACTCCTGACTGGCTGGCCAAAATCTATCTCCCCCCCCATCCTGTCCTTTTGCTTCAGGCAGAGTGATCTTTAAAAAAACAAACCCACAGGTCTGGTCATGTTAACCAACCCCCTAGGGCTTAAACTGCTATGCATTTTTCTTAAAATAAAGGCAAAAATTTCTTATCATCACCACTTTTAAGACCTTATCTATGCCTTTTGTTTGTTTGTTTGTTTTTTTGGTATTGGGGATCGAACTCAGGACCTTGCGCTTGCAAGCATGGTGCCACTGAGCTAAATCCCCAGCCCAGTTTGTTTGCTTTTTGAGAGAGGATCTTGCTATGTAGTTCAGGCTGGCCTTGAACTCACTATGTTGTAGTCCAGGTTGGCCTCAAACTTGCAGCGATCCTCCTGCCTCAGCCTCCCAAGGGCTGGGATTACAGGTGTGGACCACCATGCCTGGCCCTATCTAACATTTTAGATTCTATTGTGCATAGACTCTTTGCTCTCTTCACTTCAGGAAAACTGGTCTTCAGTTCCTTCATGCACCTTTCCTTATACAGGGCTTTTACATATGTTGTTCTTTCTGCTTGGAATCATATTCCCTTCCACTTTCACCTAGTTAACTCCTACTCATTCTTCAGATTTTGGCTTAATCATTACTTTCTTTTTTGGGCGGTGGGGTACTGGGGATGGAACTCAGGACCTTGTGCTTGCGAGGCAGGTGGCAGCACTACTGAGCTAAATCCCCGGCCTGACTTTCTTATGGAAGCTTTCCTTGACTTCCTTTTACTTGGTCAAATTTCCCTTAATGTATGGTATCATCCTTTATCTTTCTTTTGTAGTTCTTATTACAGTTTCAATTTTATATTTATTTCTGCAAGTCTATTAATGTCTGTCTTATAAGAGTATAAGTTCCAGAAGGATAAGAACCATCCTTGAATCTACTCATCAAACCTATGTCTAGCAGAGGGCTTAGCCACAGTAAAGGTCTTAGTATATGATTGTAGTGCAAACAAAAATGTCTATGAAAGGCTAAAGAACAGTAACATGCAAGAATCTTACTGGGATGGGCTCTCTACACAAAGATATAATCAACTGAACCTAAAAAATACAAAAAAAGTTACCACATATAGGGTACCTAATATTAAAGATACTGCTTTACATTTAATCCTCATAGCAATCCTGCAAGGCAGGTATTATCCCTGTTTGGAAGACATAAAAACTGAGGCAAAAATGATCAAATGACATGCTTAAAGTCACAACTAGTAAATGACTGAGCTGATATTGGAACCCAAGTGTGTTAAACGATCTTTACCACTTTTACTCACACTATTTTCTCTTTATCCTTCCTCTAAACATCCTCCCTTATACTGCAATAAAATACTACCTGACTATTCAATAAAAGCTTCCATTCACACATTACTCAGAAGGTCTCTCACTGGCAGTACAAATACATTTATGTTTTGAAACCTGCCTTTAAAGGCTTCCAAATTTTACAATGGTGATATCTGTGTATCAACAGTGCCAGGAATTAAATACACAGAGCCACAAGCAAATACATTGCTTACTAGTTTGGGAAATCTAGGATTTGAAAATTTTTATTCAGTATTAACAATAAAAAAAAAAGGGACCGGGGATTTAGCTCAGTGGTTCCGCCACTTGCCTTTCAAGTGCAGGGTCCCGAGTTCGATCCCCAGTACCAAATGAAAAAAAAAGAAAACAATAAATATATTTTCATACTTTCTCTACTAAACTATATAAAACTATATATATATACACACACATGCATCTAACAGACACAAACATCACAGACACACATATATCTTTTTCAATTATGAGGGTTCTGATTCTAAGCCTTACCATTTTAACAGGTTTATTTATTTTGAAAAACTGTTACTTAACAAACAGGAAAGTACAAAGTAAAATAAGGCCCAGGGCTGGGGATTTAGCTCAGTGGTTCTGCCGCCTGCCTCGCAAGTGCAAGGTCCTGAGTTCGATCCTCAGTACCAAAAAAAACAAAGGCCCAAATTCCAGCATCCAGCATTTTTGTATCTCTTTATGTACATAAACATATATCTAATGTATGTAATTTTGCATAAATTATATTATACTATATATACTCTTCTATACACCTGCCTTCTTCCCACTCCAGAACGCATTATGGACATCTTTCTGGATTTCAATTGCATGTATACTTGACTAAAGCCACTTGCAATAAATAGGGATCTTTTCTATAAACTCAAGAACATCTTTTATATTTTGGGTTTCCCAGCTTTAAGTTCTTTTTCATACTAAACAAAGATAGTTAATATAACTTATTGCAATGCTGATGTGAAACAAGATAGCTGATAGAATACTCTAAAATAAGGGACAACAAACACCACATCTTTTCATAAAACGCTTCTTCTTTTTTGGGGGGGGTACCCAGGATTGAACTCAGGATCTTGAACTTGCAAGGCCATAAAACGCTTCTTAAAGGTGCAAAGCCATTTGTTTACATATTATCTAACATTGCTTTTACACTACAATAGACCTGACTAATTGTAGCCATCTGGCTTGGAAAATCTAAAATATTACTACCTGGACCCTTCCTGAAAATTTGCTGACCCTTGGTCTAAAACACAATTTACTCAAAGACAAGGCAAATCTAGATAAGGATAAAAATCTTTATGTAATCAAGACACACCATTTTCTCATACTAACTGGGCTTTCTTTTTTTTCCTTTTTGGTTTTTTGAGACAGGATCTCGCTATGAAGTTCAGGCTGGCCTTGAACTTAGTGCGTAGCCCAGGATGGCCTCAAACTCACAGCAATCCTTCTGCCTCAGCCTTCCAAGTGTTGGGTTACAGGTGTGCACCACTACACCCAGTTTTCTTATAGTAACTGTAACCACTGGCCTAAGTAAAATCAATTTTTATGGTTTTAGTGCTCATAAATAGAGGATGAGGTATAAACAACTTGCTTCATATACCTTGTTCCAGTTTTCAGTCTCTAATTTTTGTTGACTTTGTTTAAGTTGGTTTAAACTTGGTTTAATAAGAGAATTTCCAACTGTTTCCTTTGTCCAGTCATCCACCAGCTTGTGTAAGTCATCAGTGAACATTCCTTTTTTACTGGCTGGAGATTGCTGGCATGATGTTCTACTGCTTTCTGCACACAGTGGATCTGTATAAAACAAAAACCAAAAAGGCCACGGATTTAGCTCAGTGGTTCCACCGCCCGCCTCGCAAGCGCAAGGTCTTGAGTTCAATCCCCGGTACCAAAAAAATAAAAATAAAAAAAAAATTTTTTTAATACTATTGCTCATGCTTATTAAATCATTCTCATAGAAGAGATTAATAGAGTTCTAATTCCTCTGATTTACAAACCAACAATTTACAGAGTGGGTCTAAAATCAATTTTAGAGTGTACAGTTGTGGAATTTAAATGGAACATTTCCAGTATTAGACATGCATGTACATGCATGTGAACATTTTTTGCACGTTATGGCCATTTATTTGAATCATGAAAAAATACGGAAAATGCAATAGACAATGCAATAAGCCAACCAGGTACTTTCCTTTGCTATCATTGAAATAGTGTTATTCTATTTTATAGGTGGGGAAACTGGGACACAGAAGGTAAACAAATAGGGTAATATGCTATGGACAGAATTCAGGTTTCCTGACTTATTGTTAGATCAGTGTACTTTCCACTATAGCATGACATACTACATAATAAACTGAAAATTAGATGAAGAAATTGCTTAATAAGGAAGAACATGATAATCTCCATGATTGCTTATATAGTCTGTGATTCTTTATAAACACTACAATATTGAAAGACTAAATTCACAGAGGTTAAATATTAAATGGAAACATTAGTGAGAATTGCTTAAGACTGTAATGAGTTAATTGAAACATTCACATATGAGAATTTTATGACAAAAGTATATACTAATTTCAAGCAACTATGACACACCAGAATAACATATGAATCTTGTTGGAATTCCTAGTTTTCAAAGGCTTAAAATTTTGAGGCACACAAGTTAAGTTTATATCAAAAATATCATTTTTTCTTGTTATCCTTCTGCACATTCACTTAATTCTCTGACAACTTTAGTGAGGAAACAAACAGCACAACAAAGTTGAGGAAGATTTCAGAGCTTACACCTTTTTCGGTTAAAAAGATAAAATAACTAGAAATATTATCCCGGCACTTTTGCCCACTTAGCTTCACTTAGGAATATTTTTGCGCACACTCCCTTTGGCTTCTAAAAAATTTGTTGTACAAAGGTAGGTTATTTATTTATTTTGCAGTACTTGCGGTTGAACCCAGGACCACTACACTGAACTATATATCCCCAGCCATTTTTTATTTCTTGTTTTGAAACCGGGTCTTGCTAAGACACTAATTTGCCTAAACTGGGCTCAAACTTGCAATTCTCCTATCTCAGCTTCCCACAGCATGAATGGTAGCTTTAAATGTCATTCATTAAAGAACATTTCTGTACTAAGGGAAAACACAGGATCAGGACTGATATACAACTCTAGTGGAAGTAATTATCTGAAATACTAGATTGGTAGTCAGTGATGGTTGTTGCATAATAGCCAACAATTGGGTGAAAAAATATTAACAAATCAAGTACCATATTTAAATAGAACAGGGGCTAGGGTAATAACACTCCTAAGTAAGCAACTGAAAATGTTTCACACACACACATACACATGCACACACACCACCCCAAAAGTTTCTAAGAACAACTGTCATGTAATAAGAAAAAAAAGACATTCGAATGTTCTTCAGCCTATGCTTTACATATGGTACAGGAATATTTGATTGAAATATTCATATTATACTGTAAAAGACCACTTAATTTAATTCAGGCATGGCGATACATGCCTGTAATCCCAGCTACTTAGGAAGTTAAGCAGGAAGATCACAAGTTCAAGTCAGGCCCAGGCAAAGTAGCAACTTAGTGAAACCATCTTAAAATTAAAAAAAAAATTTTTTTTAAGGGTGGGAATGTAGCTTAGTGCAAGGTCCTTGGGTTCCCTGCCCAGTTAGGGGATATAGGGTGTGACAACTTAAAGTTCACAAGCAAGAAAATGAGTACTTCACAAATGTAGTTTATGATAGGTGGTACCAACATTACTTATTAACTTCAAAGGTACTCATTAATATTCTTTTCTTAATGATGAAATAAAACCAGAATCAGTCCTTGGTGTTCTATTTTGTTCTTTCCCACAAAATAATGCCTATATTCACTATATTCAGGTAGTTTTAGTGATTATCCCACTGCAAATATCTAAATGTCTCTCTCTTTTTTTGTTTTTTGAGACAGTCTCTCTCTCTCTCTCCATATATATATATATATATATATATATATACACCAATTTTATACTTAATTCCAAAATGTGCTTTTCTCCCTGGATATCAATAAATCATTCAACTCAATACACCTAGTGTCAAACCTATCACGGTCCTGGCATGATAGTTCACCTATATGTCATATTTCTGTTAAGGATACCTCATTTTCTTCAAACTATCCAGATTCAGATCCACAAACACACACATATATAGTACATGGAATGAAAATTCACCCTATTCATTTATTGTATATTCTTATTTCTTTTTTTTTTTTTTTGGTACCAGGGATTGAACTCGGGTCCTTGCGCTTGCGCAGCAGGCGGCGAAACCACTGAGCTAAATCCCCCGCCCTGTATATTCTTATTTCTACAACTCTCTAAACTCTTAATCATCTTATGCATGGTTTATCATACTTGCAATGATCTAAATGAACTTATTTCCTGACTCTAGCCAATATATTCTTCACACTACCATCAGATTAATATTAGTTAAATGATGTTTTCAAGCTGGATGTGGTGGCGCATATTTGTAATCCCAGCACTCAGGAGGCTGAGGCAGGAGGAAGGCCTCAAATTTGAGGCCAGCCTGGGCTACATAGTGAGTTCAAGGCCAACTTAAACTGCACAGTGAGAACCTGTCTCAACAACAAGAATAACAACAAAATGCCATTTTCAGCATTTTACTCCTCTGCAAGAGAGAAAGAAAGAAAGAAAGAAAGAAAGAAAGAAAGAAAGAAAGAAAGATCAATGTTCTTTAATGCTAACAATGGATTCTCAACTTGTTTAGGAGGCAAAGTCCTTGGAAATCATGCTTGTCTCCATAGAACAAATACATTATCTTATTATTTTCAAATAAACATTATTAAGATTACCTATGTAACTGTGTATTAGATCAGATACATTATCTTACACTAAACTCTAGAACAGACAAATGGTAGCAATTTTTTTTAGAAAGTATGGAAAAAAACTTTCTAGGGTAAGCCTTCCATTTCACCTGTATGTTATACTGTCTTTGTCCCAACTAAGTCTTTCATTTTGCCATTTGCATGCCTTAATAGCATGTGATTCTACCTGACACTTCTTTCCACTTAACTTTAAACTTGCCCATTTATGCTTAAAACCAACTCAAATCCTGTCTCCTGCATAAAGCATTCTCAGACCATTATCCTTCTGACAATCTTCCACTTAGTCCTCTCAATCCACTGCAGACACACTTTATAGCTTTGGAGTCAGACAGACTTGGATTCCCTTACTTACTGGGATCCTAATACAGTTTCTTTCCCTCACTACCTAGAGAATCCTTTCCTATTAGAGACAAACACTGGTATCTATACACCTTGCACAGTTCTGAGGATTAAGGACAGGTACAGTATGCAGTGTGATTATCTTTCAGCATTCTCAAGACTACCCATTCTGTGACTTAGTAAAGGTCTCACAGGTGTCAGTATACAGATGTATTCATGGCTAAGGGTTTTTACAATGCAATGATACACAGTGGGGTTAGGAGAAAAGATAAGAGTCTTGAGAAATTTATGCACAGAATTCCATATGTTCTCTCCCTATTGTGAGGGTACAACATAAGCCTGCTTTTTACTCTAGTGACAAAAAAATAGGTGCACCGGTACCCTCCACCCTGCTGCCATGAGGGCTGCAGCCCTGGAGCTCACTTCCATGCAGGCTGCACGGTATCTGAATCTACGCTGCAGAGGCACCAGGTGACATGGTTATGAGCTCAAGATAGAACAGAAATGAACAACAGAGAGAGGGCCTCTCTGAGGCTCTTCAATGAAAATTGAAGCCTACTGGGAAACTGAAGAAAATCTCTGCAATAAAGACACACTGGACCACTGTGGTTGGTTAAGTTGGTGGGATCAGCACCTCCCATAGAAACCTAGGCTCACTTTGGAGGAAGGACAGCTGGATCCTGCAGTAGAACCTTGCAGAGTTCAATCCTGCAAGAGGTCAGGGACCTCTACTTGGGCCTTGCAGCCAGAAATCAGCCTGAATCTCAATGAACTACAGCTGGTTTGCTGAGACTAATAGACTTAGATCTGCGCACTATTGCCCAGGTTGTCTACCAGGACAACAGAGACACACCCTGAGGGAGGTACCCCCTTAAAAAAAATTTTTTTTTCTTTTCTTTTTTTGTCTCTCTTCCCTCATTGTTCCTGTCCTATTTCGGATTGTTTTTCTTGTTCTCCTCTTCTCTCAACTGTCACTATGATTATGGGAAGGTGAATACAGTCTCTAGCTTCCCTAAGGCTGTTAGCTTGTTCTGTTCTTGTCAGTGTTCCTTCACTCTGTCTTTTCCTCCTGTCTTCAACAGTTTCCTACAATTTGCATGATATTCTCGTCTCCTGTGGCCTCACTTCTAACCTTTCCCTCTCCTTCTATTTCTCTATCCTTCCCTCCCCAACCTCTTCTAAATCCTTATCCCAAAGGGCAAATTTGCAATATTGAAGGGTTTATTTACTACAAACATATTTTGGGCTAGTCCTTGACTTTGATCTCGCTCACATGGTTAAAGGTGACACACTAATTGCTACCACATATTGTCATTTTTTAAGGTGTGTTTGATGCTATTGTTGCTGATTGTAGCAACTGGACTAAGGTGTCACGACTGATTTAATCAGTTGTCCTCTGTAAGATATCTCTGAGAAGCAATCATTCCATAAGGGCTCTAAACACAAGTGATAAAAATACTCACACTAAGCAATACTGAAGTATCAGCCCAGGAATTAAAGCAAAAAAAAAAAAAGTACCAACAACAAAATAAGAAATGAGAAGACATTTAAGCAAGGTGCAAACCCAGACTGC